CTTTAGCAGTTTCAAAGAGTGAAAACAAAGGAGGTAGTCAGTGTGGTTTATGTTACTTAATTCTCTGGGTAAATGTGTGTGTGTGTGTGTGTGTGACGTTTGCATGTACAGTAAGACACACATATATGGTACGTGCTAGTAGCACTGTTTCCTACTTGTGTGGGTCCATGTGGATGACACAAATCACCTGAATCCTTCTCACTGAGTGAGGGGTAGAGAGTCTTGACCACAGACCTTAAAAGGAGGCTGCTGACCCCTTATTGCATTATGACCTTCCTGGCAGCTCTCATGTAGCAAGCGTCTCTCCAGCAAGTGGCCAGGGTGCATCCCTGTAATGCATTCATTCAGTGACCCATTCACCCTTTTCTACCCATCTAGTAATCTCTGTGAACTGGCCATGGGCTGCGTCTCCTTAGTGCTTGTGGACAGTAGATGGTCAGCTCCCCACAAAACACATGGCTGAACAAATCCTGCAGCAAATGTGGGCCTTTTAGAGGACCATTGTGGGGAATCAGTGTATTTTGGGATGAGTAGGTGTTTGGAATGTGGTCTGTGTTATACCTTCTATTATTAATCAAATGATGGAAACAGTGGGAAGCTGTGGTAGGAACAGGAGGAAGATGATGGAAATATTTATATTTTCTGGCCTGGATAGAAAATGGAGGGCCATGGTGGCGCACACCTTTAATCCCAGCACTCGGGAGGCAGAGGCAGGTGGATCTCTGTGAGTTCGAGGCCAGCCTGGTCTACAAGAGCTAGTTCCAGGACAGCCTCCAAAGCCATAGAGAAACCCTGCCTCAAACCCCCCCACCCCCCAAAAAAGAGAAAGAAAATGGAGGAGGGCAAAATACTGTGAAGGATAAGTCTGTGTTTTAGGAAATCCTGTTACTCTCCCAGTTACCCATCCTTTTATAAATTTCAGGTTTTGGTTATCATAAAACCCCAGGTGAAAATGGTCCAACAACCCCCACCCCCCATTAAAAAAAAGATATGTAGAGTAAAACCGTATTGCCTTCCTGCAGTGGCTTTGGATTCACTGTTCTTAAACATCTTGTTTTACATTCAGGCACAGAGGACCTCATGGCCCTCAGCCCCTGCAGGGGACCCGCCAGGCACCACAGGAACTGCTGGGCCCCTACTGCACATGTGTCAGAATTATTAAGCCCATAAAACTAGATTGTCACATCTGAAACTGTTTAGCTGCTGAAACTGAGACGTGACTTCAAAGCTGGCCAAGCGTTTCCAGACAGACCAGTGGGCTGGCACCTGGAAGAGGAATTCTAGCCCCTGGCAGCAGGCAGAGTGGCCTCCTCACCTTTCCCTAAGAAAACCACTGTTCCTCAGAGCCTAGGGCTAGACGCCACACCTGGAAACCTATTTGAGGGCTTCCCTGCTTTAAGGGCGTCTACAGCTCACTTTCTCCACTGCTCCTCCCAGCCTCTTTGCTTCCTGCTTCTGACAAATCCTTGCACTCTACCCTGCGATCTCTTCATTTCCCTCTTGACCCTCACCCTGGCTACAACCCCTCCTTCAGGGCATCACAGTTCTTTGCGGCTCTCCAAGTATAGTCTGACCCATGGGTGACACCCTGAACTTGAGATACCCGAGGGGATGACCACATTAATCCCACAAACAGCACATTGGCAGCCTCCAAGCAGAAGCCCAGGTGTTCTCTTGGCTCTCCTGCATGACTTCAGGTGCTTGCAGCCCACACTTGAGGCCACTACTGGCTGCTCTCTTGTACTCCTCCCCCTCCTGACACAAACATGGTGTGAATCTCACAGAGGTCTTACAGCTCTGCCTTCCCACCAGCACATGAGTCTCAGCCTGGGCTCAAGCCCCAGCACCAGTCTTACAGAGTGACCAGAACTGACACTGCAAGGCTTCTCCAAAGGTCATCCTGGTAGCTTCTGTCATGTTTCTGGGGACTTCTGTGTCTGGGTAGAAAGGCTGCAGGAGTCTGTCAGCAACGAGGTGGTTAACATGGATGATTTTTGTAATGGCCGAGAGCGAATGTTGGAGTGGACAGGCATACGAAGACCCATCCTAGTACTTGGTAACCATGTGTTGTAGACCACACAGCCTTCCCAGGAGCCCTACGGTGCCGGCTGTCCTGTTTCCCCTCCCCTAAAGTACCACTAAAGACCTAATCCCCATTTGTTTATCTCCCTGTTTCTGTCTCTCTTTTTTTTAAGCTGACTATATCTGTCTCTCTGTGTGCCCCTCCCTACAACCTCACCCCATCTCTGAGACATTGACAAGGTCTGACCATTCAGCCTAGCCTATGTTTGAGGGTGCATGTACAACCTCGACCTTAAAATTGACAGGTGGAGCCAGTGCTTCCACAAGCCTGAAGGTTGTGAGCCAAGGGGAGATGTGAACTTGGTTGAAGGTCACATGTCCATTTTGTCCAGAGAATAGGGCTCTGTGGGAGCTGTCACTTCCTGTCCATCCACCAGAGGCTTGACTTGCTGCTCTACCTGAGCCTGGACCTTCATACTGCAGAAGTCCTTGGACCTGACTTCAGGAAGGATGATGTGTTCTTACCTGTCTTACCTCTTGGGCTAGACACCCAGATTGTTTTCTGGACAGGAGTAAACATTTGCCCCTAGAGAAAGAGTTCTCAGAAGCCGGGCATGGTGGCATGCCTACGATTCCAGCACTTTGGAGACAGAAAGGTCAGGAGTTAGACACTGTCCCGCCCACAGAGGCTATCTCAACAACCCATTAAAAAGGAACCCTCTAGAGGAGTCTAAGGAGGGCTCTGACCCTTCTGAAAGCATCTGTTCCCATTCCGTCCATCAAGAACCTCATGTGTCCACCAGCACCCCCAGATTTCACACCACTGGCCTGGGAGCCCAGACTTCTGCCAGGTACCCCTTCTTCATATCGACGTTAACGTAGAAGGAAACTTGGTTTTCAGAACCTTTGAGACAGGTCTGAAGAAATTTTATCTCTTGGTGTCAGTTTGTCCTAACCTGGTTGTGGGCCTCCAGCACCCCAGCAGTGTACCCTGAGAGGTCAGGTGATTGGTGACTCACCCTTGCATGAGGCCCAGGCGGAGACAGTGCTCCCGTGTTTCTGAGTCTAGGGGACACTTCAGGCAGTGTCCCGAGGCCCCGAGGCCCCGAGGCCCCGTGCTTATTGTTTCAGAGCTGCCTACAATGACTGGGCATTCAGAAGATGCTGAGGCCCTGCAGGTTCTAGTAGGTTATAGATTCAGGAACATGAGCCGCTTTCAGAGTCAAGTGTGCCACCAGACAACAGGACAAGTTGCTCCTGACTTAGGAAACGAGGTCTCTGGGTTTGCTGGGAAACTTCCCCAGCTTGCTGCTGCCACCCAGTGGCAATTATGGGGAATGTCTGTGGGCTGTGACCTGAGCCAGCCTGGGGCCTCTTATGTCCTGAACACCCTATGGGTTAATGAAACAGGGCAGGGCTGTGAGAACTGTGGGCCCCTTATTTTAGGTGTGAATAAATGGGTGTTTTTAGGATGTGGAGTATCCATGAGTGTAGCAACAAGGCAAAGCAGCCCCTTAGGCCAATGCAAATTAATCCCAGGCACACAGTAGATGCCTGACACCTTATTTATGGGTCGTGTTCCCACTGTGGCATGGGCCCCACAATCTTGACACTGGTCCCCAGTGGCTAGGAGAGCACCCACCAGAGACTGCACAATGAGCTGGTGATGCTGTAAGGGCAGAAAGCAGGGCCTGGGTAGGGTGAGTACTGGAGGGAGGTGCCTTTGGATGGGGCACTGAGGAGATAAGCTGGAGCCTCATTAGCAGCCGGGGTCCATACTAACCTAGACATGACATCGGCATCTAGAACCTGAGAGTGTAAACAGGGGGTAGCACTTGACCAGAGAGGGATGAATGGCTTCTGAGGCCAAAGCAAGGAAGGTCTGACAGGGCGTGGCTCGGGTTCCCTAGGAGGGACCGGGGTGAATGGGGGTGTGAGACTCTTGGGAGAACCTGCTAGGACCTAAGGTCACCAGACTCTGTCACAACAGGGAAGGTAATGTCTGCCTTTGACAGCCTTGCCTGTGAGCCTAAGTCATCGGGACTCGGGTGCACTGGGGAAGGGGGCTCCATGTCTGGCCAGTGGCCTGGTACAGGTTTTCTATGATGTAATTAAAGCTCTTGGCTCTTCTGTTTAGCTAAAGCAGTTCAGATTAAAGGGCATTTCTATGTAAGCAGGACAGATTTGACTTAAATCACCAGGCAGAAGCCAGAATTACTCCACAAACCTTCATTTTCTTCTTTGATCCAAGGTCTCTCCAGTCACCCCTGGGCTAGTGTAAAACCCTACATATTGTGAGGTTTGATGTATGCTTATAGAGTCTGCTGTGGTGGCCCTGCCAACGTGGTGTGACCCTGGTCAATTATAGCAGCCCTGGCCTATTATTGTAGCCTCGGGAATGTCCCAGGAGACCAGCCTAGAGTTTTTTCTTTTCTTGCAGGGCTGGGCTTTGTCCCTAGAACAGTGCATTCCAAGCAAGCCCTCTTCTGCTAGCCCAATCCCCAGCTCCCATTTCCTGAACTAAATATCCTTGCTTCTCCAACCTACCAGTGCTTTTAAAGCCTATAACCCATTCATAGCTCCAAAACCTGGCACTCAAGATTATTTTTAAAATAAATGAAGGTATCCATGAATGCTAATGGTTTCAGCCTCCCATATAAAGTATGGTACGCAGTTAGAGCAAGTCAGAGACTGACAACTTTAGGCTCTAGCCTTTCAGCTGTATCTCTAACTTGGGGTGCTGTACCCACCAATTTCTCAGTGAGATGAGTCTTGCCTATTGAAGGATTCAAGCTCCATGACCAAGAGCTAATGGGGAGCAACTAAGTCCTGGAGTTCCATGGGGGAAGGGACTAAGAGTCTTGGGGAGCCTCTCTGCTCTCCCCTGCAGCACTTTTCAGGCCCTCCTTGGAGGTGGGTACAGGTGACTCAGGAGACACCTGCCTGGACATTTGTTCCACTTGCCCTTGCTCCTGTCACTTAACAGTGACTCGCCCTTGTTCCTGTCACTCAACAGTGACTCAAGTCTTAGGCCTCTCTCCCTGGCATCAGTCAGCTTTGGTTTCCCTGCAAAACCTTTTCTCCAGTAGTGATTTACAACCCTTGGGTTTGTAATCAGACATAGGACCTGTCAGCCACAGCCCCTTGGATCCGTCCAGGATGAAGCTGAGCCTGTGAGGTCTGTGTCCTTGGATTCTAGTCTCCACACCTCACAGAAGCAGGAACTGTTGAGAATCAGTGTTACAAGTTACTCTGATTTTAAAAGGGGGACGGGAAGCCCCAAATCAGGCTTTTAGAAACTACTAGATTTCATCCTATGTTCACCTGGGACAAGCTGGCCTTTGTCTCAGGAGGACATGGCACTGTGCTTTGTAGACATAAAAGAGCTTCACAGGGCCAGGACAAACTCCTTGCACTCCAGCAAAATCAGATCTTTTGAGTCTTGAGTTTGTGGATTATTTGATCAGTGAATGAATGAGGACTCCTCCTTCTTCCTCCTTTTTGAGAAAAGGTCTCACAATTTTAGTCCCAGCTGTCCTGGAACTTGCTAAATAGGCCAGGCTGGCCTCAAACTCAGAGATCCCCCACCTCATCTGTCTCCCAAGTGCTGGGATTAAGGGTGTATGCTACCACATGTAGCTAGAAAGGGAACTTTTTAAGAATTAGGAGGTTTTTCTCACTAAGATGATCTCCAGTGCAACCCCTTAAATGACATCCTAAGAACAAGCTAAATGGGCAGCCTATCCCTAATGGTTCCCATGCATTGGAGATCCAGAGAGAGAAAGACTTTGTGGGTATTTAGGAAATGCAGACACAAGCAGAGGTCTCCTCTACTTCCTGGTCCTAGTCATTCAACCTTGACCATTTTGGTCTCCTGCCATGAGGGCTCCTCAAATGCTGTTTCCCACAGTCAGTCACAGCCAAAAATACCCTAGGGTGGAGCTCCCCGCTCTTCCCCCATTGCACTTCAGGGTAGTCCTAAGGAGCCTGTCCTGGTTTCTTCTCCTTTCAGAGACCAACACTAGGTTCGTCCTCACCAGCCTTGCACAGCTGGTACCCACAACACTGCTGCACTCCCATCTCTGTCCCTGACACCTGAGCGTTTCTGATGTTCCCCTTTCACACATTCTGCAGACCAGTCAGCCTGTCCATTCAGGCTTGGGCCTCTCATGGTTATCGTCTTGTTTGCTGCTAGAGACAGAATGCTTTCCCCACTCTATCGCAAAGGCATCGGGTTTTTACATATGCTCTGTCATTCTGGGTTTGAACTAGACCTGCATCCTTTATGTCCTGCAGATGGACATTAACCCACAAGGTGGCACTAGGCAGCCTGTCAGGCACCTTGTATTCACCACAGTGAGGAATAGGGTAGGGGGTATGTCTTGATTCCTGTGGTCACTGACAGGGTAAGAATGTGCCAAACTGTACCTGAAATACTGTTTTCTGGCTGAGATATAAAAATTGAGGAGCCTTGTCTTTCTCCTGTCTCCAGCTACAAACCAAAGGCATCCTTTGGCCCATGTTATCCCTAGGGACATTACCAGCCGGCCAGCCGAATGGGTCTTAGCTCAGCTTCCCATCTACCTGAGGCCTCTCAAAGCTTTGAAGCCATCTGGAGTCAAACAGAAATACCAGGAAACTGATGGGAAATGCTCCTGGGAGCCCTGAGTGCTGTGCTGGGGGCTGTGAGTTCCCCCGTCATGAAGGGCCCTTTGATTGCAGATGGCTTCCATGGCACATTTTATATTTCCTTTCTTGTAGCCTTTGCTTCTGTGGATTATTTACAAGAACCATGTGAGTTTTTGTTCTTTGGCATTTCTTGGCTTAAACATCACCTGGATGTGTTTGAAGTCCTTCCCATTTTTCCATAGCTGGTCTTGAGATCAGCTCTGGGCTGAGGTGTTTCTTGGCAGCCATCCCTGCTCTTCAGCCCAGCTTTGGAGGACGACAGTGACTCCTCTGCAGCTCTAGTGAATGCCATCCTGAGTTCATCCCATGGGTACTATTGGGGCAGCTTCAGTGGAAAGTACTGTAAGCTAGGTCAGGAATAGAATGCAAAGTAGGGCTCTTGGTCTCAAGGCTTCTTAGACTTGTGGGTTGGCAGTGTTAGGGCTGAGCTTCAGGGAGACCCCAAGTCTCACTTTGGACAGTGGGCTTTGCTTGCAGGCAGTGAGGCCTAGTTCTGGAAATTACCCCAACACATTGTCTTTGTACATTCTGCCGTATGAAATTGGAAGGGATGGGGTGTGTGTGCGCCCACAGATTGGGAGGCCTCACAAGGTCTGATGCTGGTGTCTATTCAGCTTTCAGCCTCACAGAGTGCCTATCTGTTGCCTTCCTCTGCTCTGCTGAGCCTCATGGTCATGTGTTGCCTGGTTCTTTTGCAGGAGATGCCCAATGGGGACCCTAAGGAGGGGCCTTTCTGGGAGGACAAGGGCTCTCTAGAAGGTGAGTCCAGCTCCAGCAAATGCTCCCAGACTTTATGCTGATCTTAGGGCTCACATCACAGAACCCTCAATACTGGCATACAAGAGCCAGGGCCAGTTGGTTTCTAGTATCAAGAGCAGTTAGTTCCGGAGTAAGCAGCGGCCTTGATCATCTGTGATTCCTGACCAACCAGGCAGCTTGGATCAGTCAATGGAAGCAGCAAAATGTTGAGCCACAGCGTCCCCAGACACTTGTTCATTTTGTATGTATAGTCCTGGGACCGAGCAGGGAGGTCTGGCTTCATGGGCCGGTGATTACAACAATCGTTACAACAGCATGGAGTGGCAGAGCAGTCCTAAACACACCTCCTGTGACTTAAACTCCACTTGAGTCACTATCATCTGTGTGCATCTTTGGTGGAGTCAGCCCCACCCAGAGATGTGATAGGTTCTTACAGGCTAGTAGGTGCAAAAGACTGGCCTATAAATCCACATTTAGACATCTGCTGAAGCCCAGAGGGGTTCCCAGCACTGCCTGCTGGAAGTCAAGCAGTGGGTATCCTCTTAGCTCATACCTGGATAGACACCTGACCAATGACTCTGGGCCTCTCTCCTAAGGACACAGCTTTGAGACCCAGAGACTATGGGAACCCAGAACAGGGCTCCTTATCTATCCACACAGGGAGTGAGGAGAGACAAGACTACTTGGCCATCAGACAGCCCACGCATCCTTGTGAGTTCTGGGTTGAAGGTGTTAGACAGTGACCATGAGGGTGAGGAGAAAAGCCTGGTGACACAGGAGCTCACTCCCTAGAGGACTCTGGAGTGGAGAGCACTCTGTTATGATCTTGAAGGTCCTTCTCCCACTCTATCTGTACAATGTCAGCCTAGAGGAGACAGATTGCTCACTGAGAACCACCATGGGACACACATGCAGCAAGGGTATACCAGGTCAAGGCTAACCCAGGTGAGGCCTCTCTCCACTCTCTACTTTCCTGTTCTACAGGAGTAGGCTCTTCGCTCAGGGCCATGTAGATCAGGAGAGCAGAGACAGTTAACCCATTTCCCCTTTGTCCTCATGCTACCCACATGGGAGAGGCCCCTTCTCACCTCTCTTCTTGTCCCCTCAGTTGTGCTGCCCCCTGAGAAGTCTGAGGGCCATGAGGGTCAGGGACAGCTCTTCAGCATGGACGATGGGGAGAAGGCAGCAAGCCATGAGGGCCCACTAAGAGTCAACAAGAAGCACTTGAACATTGATGTAAGTCCTCTCCTCTACACAGTTACCTACATGACTGGGTCCCTAGGGCCCAGGATGAATGGTGATGGCCCTAAATGGGGACCATGGCCATTCCAACCCTGTGGTCTCCCCCGCCTCCCTGAGACCTTAAAGCAAGACTAAAATGTGCTGTTCTCATGGGTTACATGGTATTGCTATGAACTTGGACATCCTGGGTAGATGGGTCTCCATATGTAATGGGTATCCAGCACTCCTGGACAGGGAACAGCAGCAGGGCCACCTACCCCACAGGCAGGGGAGCAGCAAGAACACTTGGTTCTAATTCCTCTTACTTGAAGCAATCCTGAGTGCTTGCATGCACAGGGACAGAAGCCACAGGGGAGAAACTGAGGCATGAGGCATGGAGTCAGTATGTCACTAGGAAGGGGTGGGTGGAGCTGGGCAAGCACAGGGATTGAGGATTGCTGGCCAACTGCCCTTAAGCTTCCTTGTCCTGGCTGGAAACTAGGAAGAACCACAGCTGGGGGCCGTCTCAGTACCAAGTCCCAGATGACTCTTCCTTGTCTCCTGTCCCTGCACACCCCCACCCACCTACAGGCCCTGCAGTGTGATGTCTCAGTGGAAGAAGACAACCGCCAAGAGTGGACATTCACATTGTATGACTTTGACAACAGTGGGAAAGTCACCAGAGAGGTAATGTGCCCACATGTGCCACACTCGAGGATGGGGGCTCAGGTCAGGGGTGTGGCCTCTGAGATCTGGAAACCAGTCTGGTCCAGTAGACAGATGGAGATGTCTGAGTCCTCAGATGGAGAGACAGAGTGAGCCTTGACTAGAGAGAAGGAAGAGACTAGGTCTCTGGGTCAGCGGTCCCTCACAGAGCAGCCTGGGTCCTTAGTGTGCCCCTGCTCCATTGAGCTGTGTATCCAGGAGGGCCGAGAAGCATCAGCATCGGCTATGTGATACTGATGCTGAAAAGCTTACCTGCTCGTTTATCTCATGTTTGGAAGGTAAAAGACAGTGGCTTCAAGGACAGACAGCAGGACTATTTTTAAGCTATACATGACATCCTGGGGGCAATTTGGGGCATAAGATAAGGCAGTCTCTGATGGGGAATAGGCGGACCCACAGTGCCTGCTGTGGCTAGGGGGTGAATAAATGCTTGGTAAAGAAGGGAGAAATGTCTCTTCAAGTCCGTCGTGTTGGTCCTAGGACATGTCCAGCCTGATGCACACCATCTATGAGGTTGTTGACGCCTCTGTAAATCACTCCTCGGGCAGCAGCAAGACCCTCCGAGTGAAACTAACTGTCAGCCCCGAGCCCTCCAGCAAGAAGAAGGAATGTTCCCCCACTGGCCAAGGTGAGGGGTTTATGCCAGGAGCCTTCCTGTTCAAATGGTGCCACTTCCATGAGCTCCACTCCTAAGACAGGCCTACAGGGGCAGGCCACTCCTACAGCTACCTAATTTATGTTTCACACTTGCTCTTCCCTGTAGCACTTACCTCTCCACCACTGACCCTTCCATATCAGCACTGTTCATGTCCCCCAACCACTTTCAGGATTACAGACAAAAAAATTGTTTCCACAATGTCCCAAGCAGGACCTGGTACCTGGCAGGGGACAAAGCTGTTTGCTTAGCGAGTAGATGGATGAGAAGAAAAGTAATCCATTAACAGAGGGCAGAGTGGTCTAGGGCTCCAATCCAAGTACTAGGGGTGCAAGGGGCTTAAAAGTCCAAGGCCAGCATGGGTTATAGCATGATTCTATCGAAAAAAAAAAAAAAAAAAGTGGAAGGATGGGCTCTTAAGACGAAGAATGCTTGAGGGAAAGCATAGATAAGCAGGTGAGTAGGGGATAAGTGAATGACTGAATTGCAAGGCATTGAATGAATGGCCGAGGTGTGAATAAATGGATGCACAACTAAGGCAGAGTGTCACACCTTTCTTTCAGACCGGGAGCCCACTCGTGGCAGAACAGAGAGTGAGCTCACTGAGGATTCCCGGGTAGCTGACAGAAGGCTCTCTGCCTACAGCAGGTGAGGTGTGGGGCCAGGTGGTTGCATCCTGCAGGCCTGCCTCCCTGATGTCCTGTCAGGAAGGGTGCTGAAAGGCGTAGGCCCTGTGTGCTGTGAAGGGCGATGGTACCTGGGTGGGGCTGAGCAACATGCCTATGCAAACGAAGGGAACAGGGGCCATTTTGGCCCCAGTTAGGTGACCAGAGAACACGCCAATGTTTGGGACTACTCAAGCCTCGGGAGACCTGTGATGGGGTCCTGACAGGCTGCCATAAGGACCTGTGGACCTCAATTCTCTGGACAACATACAACATTGCCCAACTGCCTTCCTTCTGCCTTCTCTAGACAGTGGATGCTACTCAAAGTCCCCACCACTGCAGGCACCCCTGTCATATGATGTTTAAAGCTCTGGTGGCGAGTAAATGCTCAGGCCTACCTATCCTCTGCTCCACACAGGAAACCCAATGCTGATTCCCAGCCCTGCCCTGTGCGAGTACCCTACTGTGTGGATGAGAACACAGAGCGTAGAAACCACTACCTAGACCTTGCCGGCATCGAGAACTACACATCTAAGTTTGGTCCTGGTAGGTACTGGAGGATCCCCACCTTGTACCTACCCTTTGGGTGTCGATTCCTCCCTAAAGGTGCAGGCAGACAGGGGGCTCTGGAATTACTATGCCGTTGGGTCCCAGGTATCCACACCCTATTTGGGAACCCCATCATCCTCTGCCTAGATGTGGACTTGCATCTTACCCTCCTGCCACCTGGAAAGCAAGGTGGTTAAACATCCAGGTATGTGTATGAGACCTGTCCTGGCTTAGGGAAAATATAAAACTACTACATTCAGGTTCAGGAGCCTTCCAGATGGGGGAGCTGGCATGACGGGCCAGGCTTTCCAGCTTGTGTAGAAGAGGTGGACAGCCAGCATTGTAGACACTTGTCCTACTCTACTGAACGTTCCTTTCTGATTTTGTGCCTCTTGTAGCCTTTAGAGATTCATGAACTTCAGCCTGGCTGGTACTCTGAAAGCTGGAGGCCAAGTCCCCCAATAGCACCCCATTTCCACTAGGCATCCCTGGGGGTCCACTCAGGCCATTTGAACACTGTGACAGTATCTCTGATAAGTTCCTCCAATCTGTTCCAGACAACCTGGACTACAGGTTCCTGGTTGAAGCTGACCCTCACCTGGGAAGGGCTGGTCCCGTGTGCTTCCACCCTGATGACAGGGGCACCTGAAGAGATAGACAGGGATTCAAGGAGTTTAGTGGGGAGTTTGGCCACAACTGCCCTCCCCCCATATTGAGGCCACTGCATAGTGCCATAATGGTTTACGATTTCATGAAGCTGCAACCAGGTTATTCTGGAAGTCTCCTTCTCTCCCTCCTTCCTTCTCTGTGTGTGTGGTGGAGACAGGGAAGGGGGATACATTAATGAATTAATTCTGGTCCTTCACTGGAGTGTCTCTTAGTGACACAACTTTCTGATGCCCCCTCATGTGCTAGACATGAAGGCTCTGACTATGCTAGTAGAATCTCCACTAATAAAACCCACAACAGGGATAAAGGGCCAGATGAGCCAAGCAGCAAGGTTCCAGCGTGGCCAAGCCCCTTTAAGGAGTGACATAGTGACATCCAGGGTCCTTAATGAGGGGCTGACTCCCATCTGGAATGTAAGACATAATCAGGGACTGAGCTGTTACTTCTTCCTGCCCAGCTTGGGACATTTGGCCATCTGATCTGTGACCCAGTCAGCAGGTCACCTTTGTTGCAAACTCATAGTATAAGTATGACATATATCGCAAGCCACCACTGTGTCTTGTCCCCAGGGTCACCACCTGAGCAGGCCAGGCAAGAACATCATGGCAGGGCTGCACACATTCCAAGCAGGTCCCGATCACAGGAGTCGGATGCCCACGCTATACACCACCGCAGGTCCCAGGTCCTGGCTGACCATGTCATACCAACTAATGAGCCGGCTATCCGGGCCCTGGCTGCGCAGCCCCGGCTCAAGGGGCAGGAGAAGCAGTTCCTCAGGTCTCCCAAGGGTCCAGGAAAACCTCTTGGGACGCCAGGCAGCAGCAAGCCAGGGAAAACGCTCAGCTATTGCCTGCAGGCTGTCCCGCTGCCCCAGGGTGCTCAGGATGGCCACCACCTGCCACAGCCCCCGCCACAGCCCCCACCACAGCCCTATGGTCACAAGCGGTACCGGCAGAAGAGCAGAGAAGGCCACTCACCACTCAAGGGACACAGTCAGCCTACCATGGTGGAACATGAAGTAGTACGGGACCTGCCTGCCATGTTGGGGCCTGAGGGCTACATGATGCCTGTGGTCCAGAGGCACGAACACCACCATCACCATGAACACCACCACCACCATCACCACCACCACTTCCACCCATCCTAGCACCCAAAAACAAGTACTCTGCCCACATGCCCTCAGGGACACAGCAGGTGCTGGCATGTGCCCAGCGGAGAGTACAGCATTCCCTGGCCCCATACCCAGCTGCAGATGTCAAGTGGGTACCAGGGAGGTGGCACCAGGCTGGATATCATGGACAAAGCCTTCCTTCCCCATGTCATTTTTTTGATCCAGCTGATAACACCCATGAACGAGTGCTCCCATGTGATCCAGAAAGCCCACACAGGAGGCCAGAAAAATATCTCTTACTTATGTTGTGTGTGCAGTGTGGTCCTGGGATGGTCAAGGGACTATGCCTATACATTCTTCATATCCTTGTGGTTCTTTGACCTTTGGGTGTCCTGGATTGTTCCTGGCACAAGGCCAGGAGCAAATGGAAATGGTAAAGCTTTCTGTGAGGTTTATTCATTGTCAGGATCAGCAGGCTGGGCTTGGGAAGTGGTTCTTCAGTGCGCCATGACATTAAGCAAAGCAAAACAAAGAGGTCAGAGTATCAGCAAATGTGCAGGGGGGCAGGAAGCTCGAGGCTTGGTCTCTTGAGCTTCCAGCATCCTGGGTGGATGAAGACAGGACCCAGGTTGGGGTGGGATGGGTCAGTACCATGCTGGAAGCCCTCACCTAGGCTGTGCTGACACTTACGTGGCCCCTCTGCAAGGCTGTGGGAACCTCAATAAGCCCTGGTCCTTTGGCTCCACTGAAATAGGACACTGAAGGAGAATTTTTGCTTGTTGTGAGTTTGTGCAGGTGGCATTATGCCTTCTAGCATAATAAGAAATTGTACATTCTGTAACACGCCATACCTTGTATTAAAAGACTTTTCTGAGAGCTGTGGTCAGTCTACCTATGCCTTGTAGCTGCCGGTAAAGATGATATGTACATGTTTGTAAACGGGTGAGTGCTATAGAATAACCTTGGCTAATTTGGTTGATGCACACAATCCTTCTAAGTTATTTTTGGATTGGTCTAAGAAAAACCAGAACTCTTAACCCAGAATTCAGCTCACACGGACAGGAACACCGGGCCCCATATCCGATACATGGCCACAGCTTACAGTCTGTTGAGAAGCAAGACCTTATCCTCTCTCCTTAAACACTAAGTTCTATGCAATTCCTGAAGATCTGAGTTTGCTGTCTCCTGTGAGCTGACCAGCATACATAGGGAGACCCGGGGACTATTAACTCATAGAAGGCTGTTGCTAGTCTCTTCACAGCTGGAAACCACAAAAATGCTCCTGAATTCCAAAATGACTAGTGTCATTTCCTTACAATATGACTAAAGTCCCTGTGTCATGGATGTAGAGATGGTACACACGTATGGCTCCATCACCCACACCAGGGCAGAGGGACTGGGCAGGAATCGTCATGGCCACCCAGCCTGTCTCTCAGAATACAGCATTAAGAGGTCTTTCCAGGATGAGAGACATCACACAGGTTGTCACTGATAACACCTTGGGCCATGGTTCAGCTCAGCACCTAGGAAGTGGGGAGATTCTGACAAGTCTGACCTTAGGTAGAAGTCCTAACAAGCTCATGGCAGGGGGCCAAGCATCTGCCACTATGTGAACATTAAGAAGAGTCAGCGCTGCTCCAGCCAGCTGAGGGACCAGGCCTTAGACAGCAGGGTCCTCGGTACCAGTGCTGCAGGTGTGAGGCTTAAAGAGATGGGAAAGCATTTGTGAATGAAACAAGAACAAAAGCAAAGCCAGACCATTTAGTTAGGTGTGGCAGTGCATGCTACAATTCAAGACCAAGATTGGACTATATAGTGAGATACCTCCCCCAACCCCAATGGCTTGTGTCCTCCAACAGTTACCCACTGTAGACATGGTCACTAGTGTCTGCACATGTAGATAAGGACAGTGGGTCTGTGAGATGCAGTAACTTGGCCTGGGTTGACTCAGGGACTCCACTGACTGCCTAGAAGTAAAACTGCAATGCTGCAAGAAGAGACAGAGGCAAGACAGCCAGAAGCTTCGATGGTTAGTCTACGCTGTGCTGTGTGCCAGGAAGCTGTCTACATGGAAGTTGGTAGTACCTGGCCAACAGAAAAGGGTAGCTGGGGAGGGCTGGGGAGATGGCTCAGTGGTTAAGAGCACTGGCTGCTCTTTCAGGGGACCATGGTTCAATTCCCAGCAACCACATGGCAGCTCCAGTGGACCCAACACCCTCACACAGGCATGCATACAGGCAGAACACCAATGTACAGAAAATAAAAATATAAACCACTAAGACATTTCCATTAAAGGAAAAAAAAAAAAAAACAGGACAGGTTACCTGTCTTAAAGGACACAAAAAGCCTTGGTGGTGTAAATGGCGGGGGGAGGCCCTGTGTGTTTTTAGAAAAAGAAATTAAAAAAATACATATCCCAAAAAAAAAAAAAAAAAGGAAAGGGTGGCTGGAAAAAAGGACACAAAAAGCCTTGGTGGTGTAAATGGCGGGGGGAGGCCCTGTGTGTTTTTAGAAAAAGAAATTAAAAAAATACATATCCCAAAAAAAAAAAAAAAAACCAGGAAAGGTTGGCTGTCATAAAGGACACAAAAAGCCTTGGTGGTGTAAATGGCGGTTGTAGCTGCTGTGTGTTCTTAGAACTGAACTTGATATTAGTACATTCCCAAATAAAAACCATCAAGGAACAAAGGTGTTGCCAAGACGCCCCGTTTCTCAGCAGGCAGCCCATCACAAACCTTCTGACTCTGGGTTCTGTGCAAATGTCCTTTCAAGTGATTTGGACTTCTGCTGCCCTGAGCTGGCATGCACTCTGTTCACACATCATGGTCTCCTAACTGCCCTTTCCTAGCAAATTCAGGCATGTGTAGGGGTCCTTGTTCCTCTAAACCTTTAGGGTAGCTCTGTAGCTTCAGGGATCAGACCTGGGCTCACAACCACTCTGCTCCGGCCTGCTATCATCAGCTGGCTTTAGCACTACCTAAAGAGGCCACATCTTTGGCATTCATTGCCTTCGCCATCTTAACCAGCCCAGCCCAGGCCTATGAGAACAGTGTCAGCTGCTCTTCTGAGCAGGTCTCTTAGGTTTGTGCATGTTGCCACATGGGTCAGAACCTTCTGTTTCTGTGATCAAACTGTTCTACTGCATTGATGTCTGGGTATGGATAATGCCATGACTGCCAGGGAGCAGGTGAGTGGGGATATGCCCTAGGTCACAAAAATAATGCTACTTAACAAGTGTTGGGGCCCCAGTGCCATTCCTATGGCTGCACAGTTCTGGATTCCAATGACTTGAAACCCTCCTAACCTACCCTAAAAGTTTAGAGGAACAAGGACTCCTACATATGCCTAATTCTCTGGATTATAACCCCACTTATACTGTAATGACTCTGGGGCTCTCATCCTTAGATAAATTCGGTGTTGAGTCCCCACAATGGCAGTATTGAGTTTGCAGTTATCAGACCTAATGAGCTGGCAGGAGAGTTCCCTTAGCGATTATGTAGCACTTCTCCAATGCAGAAGGGTCAACCCTAACCCTGAGTCAGCCCTGCAGTGGACCTCTCTGAGCAGTTCTGGGAAGGAATGAATAAGTGCATCTTCTCCCAACACTAAATTTTATAGTGAGTGAGACACAAGAGGTTCTTCAAACTCTTACATTTCATAGAACTTTACTTTTCTACTAACAAAGTCATACAAAGACAAAAGCCTATAAAAAGGAAAACGTGAAACTGATTTGAATGGCCACAGTTACCAGAAGCAGAGAGTTTGCAAGAGAAAGGAGGCCAGACACTCTGACAGGGGTTCTTGTGAGCAGTGACCTAGAACCTGGAAAGGCCTGCCACTAGGACATTCCTAACTGCTGGCAGAGGTGTCCCAACTGCTCTGCTCTGGGCATTTAGGGCTCAGGAATCTGAACCCAAGTCAGAGCAGGAGTGGAAACTGCTATACTGATGGGGACACCTGCTGGGCAGCAGATACTCTGGCAAGTTGACCTCTGGCTGCCTAACAAAATCTGAGGAACCCGTACAGGTACAAACTTGGCTTCTCCCCTAATGGGAACTTCCTGAATAGGGACAAGATTGATTCTCTTGGAGGAAGCCAGAGATGGCCCAGGGCCTGGCAGCACGGGGTATCCACACAGAAACTATCTCTATCAAGCTTCCCCAGGGAGGATTAAATAAATAAATACGCCATACGGAACATGAGAAACGGATTGCTGCTGTTGCCCACAGCCTTCGAACAGACTATGACCTACAGAGCAGAGTGCACAAGGGTAAAGTGCAAATCTGTCAGGTTCTTAAAAAGTACAGAAGTGTCAGTGGCCCCAGCTAAGTAAGGTTATCCATGGTAGGGGACAAGAGACTCAGCCAAAAAGACCCAGAGCCATGGCTGCTGATGCTGAGGGTGTGAGGGATGGGACGGCATGTCATATGTGCAAAGCGGTGTGCTGAACCACAGCACGGTTCACACTCTGGAAGGCTCCTGCTGTCATGGACTGTGTGCACAACTCTCAGCGTTCTTGCTGTTTGCTTGTCACACTGTGGCTCTCTGTGGTCACCTGCTTGAGGTTCCCAGCTCAGTGCTTAGGAAATAAAGTGGCTGGGTTCCCATGAGAAGAGAAAGCCGACTAGCTGCAGATAGCCCTGGCTCGGCAGAACAAAGGTTCTCTCTGCAGGAGTTCCGAGGGCATTCACTCAGGTGGGAACACAGCTGGCAGCCACCACCCACCCAAATGGTGACCCAAGCCTACCCTGTAAACACTCTCTCACTTTCCAGTGGTACCCTGAGGAGTGTGGACAGGAAATGAGGAGGTAAGAGTGGACAGTCCTCAGCTTGCTTACAGAGAGCACAGCAAGGATACCCAAAGGAACAAAGAAGGCAGAAGCCAATGGGGAACAGCTCACTGACATTCTAGCCCCAAGGAACGGTGTGCTTGTTCACGTGTTCTGTTCAGGGTAGAAATGAAATGTAACTGCCACAAAATACTGGGCAGTCATCCACAGAAAAGGGACACTAGTATCTGGAGGTGAGGCCCTGCCTATAGTGGGAAGAGCTGACCCCAGAGTCCCTGGGCATACCTACCATTACCCACAAAGATGCAAGGAGCCATTCCTGTCAGAACAGCTCTAGGCACTGCCCCCCTTAGGCACCTTCTGCTTGGAAGAAGCCTAGGGGTGTTACGTCCATGGGAAGCGATACGTGGCAGGAGACCAGAATCACTGCAGCATCTTGGCAGGGCCATGCCAGGGCAGTGGCCATCAGTCAGTGGCATGCTGGTGGGCCCGAGCCTGGCCACAGGCTGCTAGCACAGTCCTGACCCCGTCCAGGTGTGTCCAGGCTGCAGGTGTTAGGAGTAGATGGTGATGACTTCCCGTCCACCACCCCTGACCAGGAGGACCCTGTTCAATCCCTCGGTCAAGACCTCAAGAAACTCCATGTCTGTGGTGATAGTTAAGGCCATACCAATCTCAACTGGCCCAGGGGTTGAGGGACCCCAGATCATACTACAAACAGCCTGACAAGCCAAGGGGCTAGGGAGCTCAGGGCAGAGGAAATGAAGGGGTTGTGCTAGTAAAGAAGGAAACTGCCACCTCCAGAGGGCAGAGAGATTCCTGGAGCTTCCAGTTACCAACCAACTGGCAACTGGGTCACAGGAAGCATGGTGGTTGGGTGGCCTCTGACCAGGAAACCTAAGGAAACACCGCCCTCATTTGCCACTGTGGCACCAAGTGGCTGTCCAACAAGACCCCAGAGATGCCTTGACACCAGCAAAGCACAGACTGCCAAGGCTGTGGCCAATAGACTGAGCTGTGACACTCAAAAGCAGGACATCTGTCTTCCTTGATATGCCACCAGGGGAGACGAAGCTCAGATGGCCCCAGGGAGCATACTGAGAGTACACCAATCCCAGAGAGACTCTGCACTGGCTTTGATGACAGCTCTGCTTGTGGGAGGGAGGCCACTGGGGCCAAGAGAGGACAGGCACATGGGGGAGAGCAAGGGCTCAGTTCTTCCTGTGAGAGTTTGCTGTTCTATCCAGGGAAGCTCAGGGTCAGACTGCGCTTGCCGGGCATTCAGGGAACCCAGCTTGCGACACAGTTTACACTGCTCTGAATGAAGGGACACATCAGCCATCACCCAGGGACACACGCTCCAGTTGGATTTGCCACTGTCTCATGTTGGGTGTCAAAGTGGATCAAAGGGACATCCTGAGGTGATGGGGTTGTGTGGCCCAGGTAGAGTGTTTACTAGCATACTTGAACACACTTACCAGCATAACTTGTGCTTGGTCCCAGCACTACAAGGAAGAGCGCCCAGTACTACAAAGAAGGGTGCCCATCACTCATCCTCAGGTGCTCAAATGCAGTGTCATTTCTCCGAATGCTAGGAAGGACCCTCCAGTCTTCCCAGTCTGTTCAGACTCCATGGCACCTGCCTACCTCTGTGCTATCTCCAAGGTCCCCAGGGCAATGCAATGCACTACACAGGTAGAAAAGCATGTTCTGACAATGATGGGCCTGGGTGGACCCCTCATCATACCCCAAATCTCTGAGTGTCTTGGGGGGCCCCACATGCCTTGCTCACCTCCTAGGCGATGAAGCTCCGTGAACAAGAGGAGCCAGGCCTGACAGCACCATAGTTATAATACTGTTCACCTCCCACCAGCAAGAAACATGGGAAAGGATACAGTTCTCATCACCCTGCCGGTTTTTCGGAGGGCCTGGCATATTCAACAGGACCAGATGCGCATCCTGGGACTTGTTAAGGACAACACCATTGAGCTTCACAGCAGTGTGCATCCTCCTGACGTTGGACTGGTCCCTAGAGAAGGGTGGTATAGTGGGCAGCACAGTGGGCTTGAGGCCTGCAGCCTGCCCAGCCCTCCCATTTTGTTCAAGTATGCTAGGAAGGGCTCAACGAATCATCTGAGGTCAGGTGTGGGCTGACTTTCTTAGGAGCAGAAAGCATTTGGCTCTAGATACTTTAGAACAGCGAGCGCATCACTAAACTGCTAAGCTTCTAGGGACCATACAGGAATGCAGGTAAACTACAATGCATTCAGTAAGCTGCACTTGCAAAGCAACCATTGGTACAGGCAGAAATGGTAGGGGGCACAGCAGCTGTCTGGGCAGATGTGGGAACTGGCCTGCCTCTTAGGGCAGGGGTACAACTGCTGAGTCCCTGGCATCCTCCTGACCCCACATCTGGTGGTGCCAAGTAGCAAATCTGTTGAACTGAGTATACAGTACTGAGGTCTGGGGAGGTCTATAGAGTGTCCTCTCACCAGTCACGACACCGCCACCCAGGTACTGTCAGGTTCTGCACTGCATCTAGGATTCAGCAGAAAACTGGTTTGGGCTCAGGCGCCCCTTTCCTGCCCTTAGCCAACCCAGATGACACTGCTGAGCTGTGACTAAGAAAGAAGAGCTTCTAGCACTGTGGTTCTGATTCTTGTTTGTAACCTCCAGAGTGAGCAGAGCATCACTATCTCTGTATCATGTGCTCTGCTGCTATGTGGGGCGCTGTACTCCTCTATATCCCTAGGCAGCAGGGATCACAGGCACATAAGTTTGAGGATACTACAAGTTTATCCTTACTAGCACACCTAAATACTCGGGTACCTGCAAGACAACCCCTCTCTAGAGAACTAGATCAACCGCACACAGAGCCAATGTTTAGGAAACTGCCACAGAGCACTACCTGTACCAATGAATCTGTGTTTCTAACTGTACTGGGACATCTGGCACATCCCAGGGCTCAGGACACAGGGCAGGATCTGTGGCCAGCCTGCTCATCTGCCCATACAGTCTTGATTGCAGCCCTTCTGAGTAGAGGCATCTGTGCCTCAGATACAGGGACAGGCAGATGAAGCTGCCATTTGAGGGTCAGAGAGAGGTCCTGAGATGCCCCAGGATCACACCCACTGACCAACTCAACACTAAGCCAAATATATCAGCTTGTAACTGCCATTCTCCAAGAAGAAAACAGTCATGGGCCCTTTATCTTCTCTCTTCAGTTTAATTTGATAAAATTAGAGGTCAGTCTCTGTGGCACCATCTAGGCCTTTCATTACAGGAACCCAGAGTTCACTACATGGAAAGGGCACAATTACTGCGTGTTTGGTCCAACAGTGGTTCCCAAACTGCATGAAATGCAAGAGCCTAGGGGTGAGAGCACAGCAGCCACATGGAACCTGAGTGTCAGTTCTGGGTCTGGCCTGTTATCCATTCCATTGTGGCATGCCCTGCTGGGGATACAGAGATACCAGAGGGTCCAGGGAAGGTCCTTGAGTTCTGAAAGCTAACTGAATCCCACCTCTACTCTCAGTAACACAGCAAAGCTAATGAGTAAAATGTCTTGAACAAATGAACTTTCTAAACAGTGTCCAGACCTAGGCATGTAAATCTACACAGCAGTCTTGGCAGCAGGAGGTTAAGTTACATGTCCTTGGCTGTCAGCAGAGCTGCCCAAGACCATCCAAGATAGAAAATGCATGCACTCAAATTTCTACAAATGCTAACAGGTGCATACCAACACACACATGCAGGTGGGTACACTGGCATGTACGCAAACACAAATGTACTCAAACCAGCATACATGCTCATCTAACTGGCAATACATGCATGAGCTCTAACTGGTGCACACATGTTCTAAGCCAGTGTACACATTTTCTTACTGGTACATACATGCACTCTAACCAACACACATCCACAGCTATGTATTTATATACTCCAGGGAAACTGTGAAAGGGAACACATTCTCTTGCTAGACTAACCAAGAAATGGGCCCTACCTCCAGAGCTTCTTCCTGACCCTGGCTAAGCAAGGCAAGCCTGGGTCCTGAAAGATAAATAAGTACCCCAACCGTGATTCCCCATATGTGTGTCTAGGCAGCTACAGGTATGTACAAGTACATGTGTACAGGTGTGAGGTCATACACTGTTGCTGTGTCTATGTGATCATGTATTTTAATGAACTATGGGGGCTTTTAGATTTGCAGAGAGCAGGAAGCCCAGGGTGTCTCAGCTTCCCTAGCCAAGCTTCTCAAGGTTCCCTCAGTGTCTGAGAACTCCTTGTACACTACTTGCTTATCAGGGACAAGAACACAGAATGACTGGAGGGAGGGGCAGGACAGGGACAGGGACAACACAGATGAAAGGATCAGAGCAACATCTCTAGGCAACCTCAGCCTATGTCTTCCTAGAATGCTCCCACCCATGGGTTTGGCAGCTGGACCCTCAGACCGTGGATCCTTGCCTAACTCCTGGCCCTGATGTCCAGTCCAAGAGCTCACACATAGGCAATCTGATCTCACAGAATTGATCCACATCCCCTTCTCACTAGAGAGGAAAAACTGGAAGCCTCCTGGATGGATGGTGACTGTCTGAGTAGACCTGGAGGGATGTGGGTGAACTCACTCTTTGCTGCAGGAAGCACGCACCTGCCCCTTTCAGAGAAGCTCAGAACCAGCCCTCTGACACTATCTTTGCTGTCACTTAGAGAATAACATCTGGGTATGTGCCCTGGGCCACTCTGAAGGAAGGCAGTGAGGTCATCAGGATGCTCTACATACACACAGGACTGTACACACGCAGGCATGCAAGGCAACTCAGTCTAAGAGGCTAAAAATGAAAGTGCACTTACAGGTTTCCCCACTCTCTACATGGAAGAGAACACAAAGAGAAGGTTACTCCAGCAGAGGACTCCACACAATTGAGCCAATTCAGTACTGGTACAATGCTGAACTGGTAAAGGCTGGCCTTAGCCCTTCAATGGATTCTCACTCCACGGGACCCCAAAGTCCTCCTCCTCTCTTCTCGGAACTTGGAACTTTAGAATCATCCCACCATGAAGACCCAGTCAAGGGGGGCTCTGGCCCTCTCTCAGGCTTGGGGGGCTTTATGAATGGGACTTAAATAACCTGTCATGATGGCATCCCTACAACTCTGTGACAGTCACAAGGACCTCAGTTTTGAGGTTCTCAAGTCAGCCAAAATGACAGGGACCCCAGAGCTCCACAGCAGCAGCCTAGACTATTGGGGGCCTGCAGGGCCACCTTTCCAAGGGGAGTAAGCTCCTCTCTCACAGCTGAGGGATGTCATTAGCAGCAGGAGAGTAAGGCTCACAGCCCAATACACATGTGACCTGGCTCACTGGCGCTAAGAGCATAGCCTTGGGCTGGTCCCAGTTCGTTACAGGCTTTATAGAGGGATGGGAGTTTGTCCTCACTGTGCATTGGCCCAGCCCATACAGACACTCACGGCTTTAGGCTGAAGAGGTCTTTGAAGCCCGAAGCACTGGTGTCCTTGTTCCTGTGTTTCTCTGCAATGAGCTTCTCTTTTGTCCACGTCATCTGCACTTTGTCAGGTGTTGGTGGGGCTTGGGTTCTAGCAGCTGCTGTGGTATGGGATGCTGTGTTCCTGTCGTGAATCAGCTGGGCCTGGTGAGGGAATAGCACAGGTTCAGAACACACACAGTGTCTCTTGAATGAAAGCCACCCTGGAGAGAACCTGATCAGCGAGGCAAGCAGGCTGTAGAATGAACCAAGAGGACTCATGTGCAACTGGGTAGGACCCCTCAACCACTGAACAGCAGCTCTACAGAGGGCCCTGGTACTGTCCTCACCCCACAAGGGTCTCCCTATCTGTTGTACAACCCTGATGCCGTAGATTCTTTACTTGGTGTAACCCCTGACCTCTCCATCATCCACCCTGACCAGCAGACACACTGTGGTGCACCTGAATGGCGGTTTCCATCTCAGAGAGGGGCTTGCTTCAACCCCTCTGGCTGCCAGGAAGCAGGGCCTGCCAGGCTCACAGAGGCTTTGGAGGGTCATAAATGGGTGGTGCCTGGTAGTCCTGGGAGGATGAATAAGATGATTACCTACCTATACATCCCTATCCAGTAGCTTAGGCACCAAATGGGGTGGGGTGAATATTTAGAGATCTCTTTGAGACCAACCTGTAACCCTAGGCTAAGGTCTGAACAGTTCTTCCTCTTGTCTGGGCTATCAGAGTCATCACTGATTCTCTGAATCTGGGCTGTCAACAACCAGGGACAAAATGGAACATGGTACCTGTCTCATAAGAGTCACAACTAAAGATCAGACAGAGAGAGAGAGGGGACTTCTAGGATTCCAGTGGGGCCAAAAGACTCTAGGAGACCTTGCTCCAGTAAACATATCTACCCTCATGGAGGCTAAGTACAGCTGAAAATACAGAAATCCCCACATGGAAGCCCCTCGTAACTAGTATTCACAAATGTCCCCACATGACAAATCAGTGCCTCAAGGGGAACCAGCAGCCAAAGGTGGCCACTTGTCTTCTTCATACTTGACAATGTGTGTGAGCCACTGGCTGATGAGGGCACATAAGGGCACATGCTCTCTGTGGGGTCCAGACAAGTGAATCTGGCTGGGTGAGGCTCTGCTACCTACCAGACCTTCATAGCCTTAGCTAGTGTGGGTAAGGACTTGCTGCTGCTCACCTGCAGAGCCCCAGCCAGGGTGGGTCAAAATCCACCAGGGAATGCTACTCATCCTGACTCTGAGCTGTTCAGTTCTGCCTGTACAGCAGAGGTGGGTCATCAGGAGCCTCCATGATGGAGACCCACAAAGTAAGGCTCAGCGTTGACTTCCTCAGATGGCAGCATGGCTCAACTGCTCAGCCATGTCTGAACTTCATGGACCCTCAGTGCCCTCACCCCCAATGTGGCCTTAACTTTTCCACAGCCTCCACAGAGAAGAAGAGCCTGTTGGTAATCCACCAGGCTAGGAGTGCAACACCCATCCTGCTGAGCTGTGCCAAACAAACTAGTGGCCTCTGTCCCACATGGGGACGCATCTCTGCTGAAGTCAGACTCCTGAATGCCATCCCCCCTACCTTAAACCCCTCCTTTATCTGAGTTTAGTAATTCTCCAGGTTAAAGATGCCACTTAATCCAGTATTCTTTCTCCTGGACGAGGCCAGAAAGGTGGGTTGCTTCTGGGACTCCCTGCAGCCCACAGGAATGGCGACAGAAACAAAGTCACTGAGTCTAACCAGATAGTGTTGGAGCCAGCAGGCAGGCTATAGTCTCTGTCCAGACATGGTGGGCATCCTATCTGGGTCCTAGTTCTGTCTCCTGTGTCCTCCAACTCTCCTAAAGAACCTGGGGTGATCACTGCTCCCATTCTAGCTGTTAGTCACATGATCCATGTGCCAACCATGCCAATTCTCATGGGAGGCAGAGGGTTCTTGTGCCCCTGTGACCACATATTTTCACTAATCCATAGAGAATCATTCCCTCCACCCAATCTGCCACTGCAAAGCCTCATATAAGGGTATGGAGTTTGGGTTTGGAGAGATGGCTCAGCGGATAAGAACACTGGCTGCTCTTCCGAAGGTCCTGAGTTCAATTCCCAGCAACCACACGGTGGCTCACAACCATCCATAATGAGACCTGGTGCCCTCTACTGGCCTGCAGACACACAGGCAGACAGAACACGGTATACATAATAAATAAGTAAATCTTAAATAATAATAATAATAAAAGATTCTGGAGTTTGTACAACAAAAGGCCTGAGGGCATAGCCTCAAAAGAGGTGGATGTCATGTCATCTACCATCTGTACCTTTCCTGGGTATGAAGTGACCTCAAAGATGCCAGCCCTGAGTCACACCGTACCAATGGGGACAGGTAGCCATGCTTGCTCTTCTTTAATGGTCAATGCCAAAAGACGTAGAAAAACTATGTGAATCCAGAGCCATGTGTTGCTGGGTTGCCCTCTGCCCCTATCAACACATATCCCACATCTGAGGCCAGATGACACTGACTCTACCTACTTTCTTCTCCCCGGTGTACATACCTCTCTCTCCCGCTCATTTTTTGATAACTGCATCTGTTTCAGCATCTGTGACCTCTGCTCCATCATTAGCGTCTTCTCATAGGTGAATGCAGATATGTCATTTTCAACCTAAAATGTGTCAAGCCACAAAAGTAAACAATGCATACAAAACATGGTATCGCTGCTAACCACCTACCTCACCCCCCGACTCCCCCACTCCCGCTTTGTCAAGTGGACCAAAGCAAGCAGTGGCCATGCATCCTATAGGCTTAGATTTCTGTCTCTGGAGTGTCAGAGCGCTAACCCAGAGCATCCTGGGAAGGTATGAGAATGTGTTAACTATGGATGGAAACGTGTAGGTATAGGCTTCAGTAACAAATGAATAGCCTACCTACATTCCTGCAGGGGACTCTTAACACTGCTGCTGCATCTTACATTGACCGGGTACACAGCTGTTGAGGGTTCTGGACAGAGCATTCCTAGCTTGTCTCTGCAGAAGCTGTGGTCTCAAGGGACACATGCTCCCAAATAACTGGTGTCATTTCCTGTCTCAGACAAGCTCATCCGTCACAGAATTATTAAATCCACAGGAAAAACATACCAAACCAAGGGACAACAGCATTTAAAGCACTACTGACTTGAGGATCTTGACTATTGGCACTCAGAACAGTCCTGCTCGTTACACCCAAATACCCAAACTCTTACACTCAGGGTAGTCCCTTGTCAGCTGACTGAGTTCCTGGGGCAGGGACATAGATCTCTGTATTCTAGTGGAAACTCAGGAATGGAGGGTAGCTCTAAAAACCCACCTCCTGGGGCAAGACTGAAACTGAGAAGTTGGCAGCCTCATACATATACACCATAGACACAGGTTCAGGCCAGTACCTGACTGCTGGTCTCCATGCCTAACCCTGGGCTACCTCACAAGACCATGACTCCTTCGAGGGCTCTTTTCTGAGTAGCTTCTGTTACTAAGTCAAAAGATGGTTTCTGACTGCTAATAATGCTATTTCTATGACTTCTAGGTGTGGCCAGACCTAGGTTGCCATCTACAGAGGAGGCTGCAAGAAGAAGCCACGGAGAGCGAGTCTGCAACTCTGAAATGGCTGAGATAACCAAACGTGGCTATGCATTTCTGAACAGCACACTCAGAGCACAAAACCCAGTGATACCCAACCTGCACTTCAACTTGCACAATGCTCTTATAGAAGTAGGAAAGCATAGCCCTGTACCACAAGGTTCCCTGGGAGCAGACAGGAAAATGCAATAGTTCGTCAATAATGCAGGCAGATGCCAGGCCTCATCCATGATTAAAGACACACAGCCCAAGACAAGCAGTCTGCAAGCTCTACAGTCCTGGAGCTATGACTTCTCCATGTAACCATGGAAGGGTAGTAGTGGGTCCCTCTACCTAATGTGGCACTCCACATGGCCATGGAAAGGGAATGGGCCCTTCTGGAACACCCATCACCAAACATAACCCCTGTATAACTGCAGAAGAGAAGCAGGACTCTCTGAAACTATTTCTACCAAATGTGACACCCTGCCAGTTCTACTCCAGGGAGAGCACATAGCCATGCACAGATGATCAAGGAATAAGTCGTACAGAACACACAAGTGAGAACATGGCATTCAGAGAACTCAGAGAGTCATGAGGAGTGAAGGATACACGGTTCATCCACATGGTGCTCCTTAGTCCATAGGGACAAGCGTGGGTCCTCAGGCGCAGTTAGAGTATAGCCATCTCACAATCAACTTCACTCCTTAGTCATTCAGACCACGGTAAATTGCATCTACTGCAACCCACAGTCGATTGACTCCACCTGCTAGCCCCACATGCATGGCCCTATTTACCCACAGATGGACAGGTCATTTCTAACTGTGGAACTATGAAGGCATGGACAAAAACAGAGCCAAGGGCTTCCGACCTCTGGAGCAGGCCTCACCCCTAGGGACCGTACCCCACAGGCCTTGTCCACTAGAGCTCTGTCAACTGAGACGTACTCAGACACGGAGGACGGAGACCACACAGTGAGACTATACAGTCACCCAAAGGAGCACGTAGGGATGCGAGCCCAGAAATGTAGCACGGCATCCAGGTTCCCCTGCCCACCAGAGCATGCGGATGTATACGCACCATCTCCACCACCTCCACCTCAGCGCTGATCCTCAGGTGGTACAGGAACATCTGTAGGTCCTTCTTCATCTGGATGCTGTTGTCATCCACCTGGGCTACAGTGAAGATGCGCATCCGGCACTTTCGCCACACCTGGGGAAGGGAGGAGACATTTCTGCAGGAACTCAAGCAAGGCCATACCCTTCACGTCGTGGTGTCCCCGTAGCCTAAGCTGCTGCCCTGTGTCCCTGTGGCAGCCACCTTGTGCTGGCGTAGCAGGAAGGGCAGCAGCATGAGCATGCCCCCATCGTGCACAATCCACCACACATCGATGTTCCCGTCACTAAAGCGCTCTTGGTTCTGCGGGAACAAGTCGATGTTTTTGGCCACCAACAATGCCTGATGTGCTGCTGTAGTGTCACGGACAGTGTCTGTGGAGACAGAGGCATACATGGGTGAGATCGCAGGGTGTGGGTGAGGCTAGCTTCCCTCCAGACAGTGGGGAGACTGTCACAGGCTAAGTAGTCATGGTCCCATGAAGTCATCTACCCAGAAGGGCATCAAGGAACAACTTGCATGTCACCAGCTAACCCATGACCTCCAGAGGGTTGTGTGTCACATTCTAGGAAAACCCCCCAAATGCAGATTGGGTTTGGGCATCAGGGGAGAAAGTATTAAACACTGTAAAGTAGCCATTTGCTTTTCCAGTGACTAACAGCTTGACCAGCACATTCAAAGGCCCCAAGTATATATTCTCTGGCCAGACGTAGGTGTGACAGTAAGATACCTGGGGCTATCATGGAGCCTTGGGGGGAAATGGTTGCTATACTCACCCACAAAGTTCTTCCAGGAGAAAGGGTTATCTGCCTGCTTCCAAGACTCTGGCCAGGCCATAAGGACAGTGTTGTGTTTCATGCCACCAAGGCCAGCTGACTGGATCAGGTGGGATGCACCATCTCGCAGGTTAGAGGACACCACCAGCTGGCAGAAGCCTTTGGTCTTCTCTGCACACATCAGAGAGCGGATGTTCTGTGGAAGTTTGGGGGGGGGGTTGTCAGCATGTGATGTCAAGACACATGCCAGGGGCATCATGTCAGTCACCGCTGTGGTGAAGTGGCCCTACACATATGCCACAGCCTGGCATTTAGGGATGGAGACTTTGAGGAGTGCTTGGGAGTTGCTGGCCACGTGTGTTTGCACATGTGTGAGAGAGACACAGCAAGCCTGGCACCTTGAGGAACAGCTATGTGTAGGTGTCAATGAGGGGTAACCACCAGGGTGCACCAGATAGTACCTTAAAGTGATCTCTGTCTTTACCAACCACCCATTATTATTTGGATTGGGGGTGGGGGTCATGTCAGAGGACGATCATCAAATGTTTAAATGCTTCATGGCAATGGGTCAACTTCAAGAGCAAATCAAGGGCTCCAGCAAGAACTATCAGACAAGCCACAATGTCAGCCTCCACTCCTGTCTACTCTGTCATTCCATCACTATGTCAGGCATCTACAAATCCACAAGGACATCCGCTCCTCCCTCCCAAGTGCAGCTTGGGGTCATTGCAGAGGTTGGACACTGTGAGTCTGGACACACCATTCACTAACCAACAGCTCTAGGTATGCGGTCATTCATCTATAGCGGCCAGGCTACGAGGGTCCTCTTGGGTCAGGGTGTCAGATAGTACCTAGAAGAACAGTCCTACTAGATGTCACGCTAATGTGGATGGTGAACCTCATGCCTCCGACACTTTCCCTTTTAGAATAAGTTTAGAATAAGAAGGCCACACCACTGGCAGGCACACATTTTCCACACTTCATGTGAGCAGAGAGAGGAGTTCCTCTTCACGTAGTCCCCGATTTAGTATTGATGCTGTGAGAGTCAAGACTTTGGAGACCCTATAATGAGATGAATGTGGTTTGTACAGGGGGCGGGGAGGAAATGCGTGCTTGGGGGACTAGGACTGGAGGGGCTGAATGGTGCACCCAAAGACTCTCATTATGACCATACTGTAGCCAAGATGGGGAAGGGAGACCTTAATTGGAAAAGGTGTCCTTGCAGAGTAATCCTCACTGTTCAATGGGACCCTGAACTCAGTAACAAACAACCCTAAAATGACAGAGAGACCTGAGACAGAAGGATGACGGCTGTGTGGAGGTGGAGGCTGAGGCTGAAAGGTGCCTGGAGACCCAGAGCTAGAAGAGGCAGGAAGCATATTTAAGCCTACCCTGCCCACACCTCAGTCTGGGTTTTCTCTATTGGTCACAAGACACACTTTTTCCTTCCTTGGCCTGAGTTCAGCTGCCTATACCAGCCCTCAGTGACACTGCCCTGCCCTGGAGCTCCTCAACCACGGCTATACTGATAACACACATGGTTCCCCAGCATTCTCTATTCCCTTACTTCCTGTTCACCTCCACCACCCATCAACTACCCAGGGCAGACCAGGCTCACACAGCCATGTTCCACTTATAGAATTCTGCGTAATTCGGGAACAATCTAAACACACTGTCCTAAAAGGGGAACATGCCAGAGAGTGGGAAGCGGCCCAGGCAGGAGGTGTGGTCACAGGGACGCAGCTGCTCCCAGGCGGGAAGGAAGACAGTGCCCATGATGGGGGTTTCACAGGAGAAGTACTAGAGGCGCTGATTCAGCACGATGGCATGCAGCAGGGCTATTCTGTTGTCCTTCAGGCTGGAGCTGGCAAAAGGTCACAGCAGAGAAGGCTGTGGAATACAGACCAGAAAGACATACCTACTGCACAGGGCACCAAACCACCACTGCCCTGGCTTTGTGATACCTGCGTCCCTGACACTGGCTGCAACATTGCTTTCCCCATGCTACAGACACAAGGAGCTGGAGCTGGGTCTCCTTGCCTTGCTGCTAGAAACTCCTGCCCAACCTAAAGCTGTAAAAGCCAGAGCCCTGACCAGGCTGGCACCTGGCCTGGGTCATTGTAAACAGACAAGTTAGCACATCTGCCAAGGTGACTGTGGGCATGGAAACCTCACAGGACAGAAAGATGGGTTCTCAGTTAGAAAAGGATGGGGTGGCTCAAATTCTCAAGCCTTCTCATGCAATCGGTACAGTAGAAGGGAACGTAGTATTAATCCTGATAAGTTACAGAAACACCAAGTAAGAAGTTCCTTTCACAAGCTTTGATTGTTTAAAAAAAGTTTTTGTACTACCAACAATAGTCAGATTGGGGGACAGACTCCATCAGAAAAGTGACACAGGTCCCAGATATTGGCATGAAGGACAAATTGGACCCTTGGGCAGCTCCTTCTTGCTTTTGCTGATCAACAGAAATGACTAATTCCAAAGCTAAAGCCTTTCCTCATAACCTCCTTCCTAAAGTACTTGGAGACTAAAAATCCTCCAACCAGGGTTTAGGTGTGGCTCAGTGGCTAGACACTTCTCTAGCACGTATGAGGTCCTGAGTTCTCCACCCCCACTCCAGCACTACCAAAAAATAAAAGAATCAGACTGTTAGACGTAAGTGCTTCTCATATCTTATCAGAACGGAGGCTGAAAGTGGAGTCAGGGTCCCTAGCAGCCATTCACTTCACTTCAACAGATACCTTTCCCATGAGTTGCCAGTAAGACAAGATAACAGGAGTCCATACACACCCTTGTAATCTGTCTCAAGGGGTGGTCTAGCTCCAGGGATTTCCTGGGAAGGACATGTGCATGGCAATGCTTAAAGCAGACACTGGGGCCTTTGTGCCCAAGAATTATCAAAGAGCAAAAGCAAGAGCACCTTCGAGACAGAGCTACCTCATTCCCCCATAACAGAATACCTCTCAGACCAACTGCAGGTTAGATACTAGCAGACAAGACAGAGCACCATCCATCCTTAAGGACAATAGCTAGGATGCTTCAATTCATGGGTTTAGAGTCAGTGGCCACCAGTGTTTAGATCCAATGAGCCACATGCTGATGGACAATTACCGGTCTCTTTGGAGGAGCAAGGGAAAAAGATCCATGGTTTCTCCTGTCCTCTATGAACTTGATAAATCTGAGTGGCCAAAGAGGATGCCCAGGTGAGTGAAGCCATTATTGAAAAGGCCACAGGATTGTCACTCCAGGCCAGGACCACCAACCACCAACCACCACCAGGCCATTCCACCCATGCCTACAATCACTCCACTGAACAGGCTTACCACCTGGCATGGTCTGAACTCAGGAATTAGGCTGCAGCTGCAGACACACAGAGAGCAGGAAGCCTGGGTGCACAAGCAAGACCAGATATATATAGATGGTTATAAGACAAAAGCTGGCTGATTACCTGCCTCCAGAAAAGAGGGTGACACCTAGACATGGCAGCCATGACAGAGTCCTGAGTAAGGTCCACAAATGGAGAGAGGAGTAAAAAGATTTCTGACAATTTGGGAAGCTGAACACTGGAGATGAACAATCAGAAATGGTTCTAGATAGATGACAGAATAGGATGTCACAGGAAAGGGAAGGTGGAGGTGACAGGACCCTGGCCTTGTGAGGACAGCAGAGGCTGGAGGTAGACGTGAGGGGACTGATGATACAAACTACTTGCTCTGCTTCTACTTAGGCTGAAGATCTCCTGTCACAAGTCTGAAAGCAGAGAAATAAAAAAGTGTACAGGAACCCAGGAGTTATACAGCCAACAAACTGTGGGCAGCAGGCATCAGAGATGGCATAGTACTATAGGAGCAGGTTCTGGTTACTTCCCCTGGTTCACAGGCTCAGGGGATCTGGCAGCACACAGTCTCACGACCCATCATCTCTACATACCGGAAGGAGATGGGGTACATGGGGAGCTATGACCTGCACCAGGAACAGAGTACTGAGACAAGGCACAGAGCCCCCAGTGCTTGAACCCCAACAGCATGCCGAGTGGAGCTGCCACTGCTCCTCTCTGTCTCAAGACCACACCCCTCACTTCTTCAAGTCTGATTTCTGACCACTTCAGACTCAGCAGCCGCCTTGACAGATACAAGCGACAGACAGCACATGTACAAGCTGTGCTCCTGAACCTCAAGATGCAGGACACGGCTGGCTCAGCCCTTCCTAGGTGGTTGCGACCCTGACCCCACTCACTCGCCACTACCCCTGCCCACCTCTTCGGCCCTCTGGGCCTCCACATGCTTGTCTAAGTAGGTGCCCTCCAGCACAGAGCCCACGATGGTCAGGCCCTTGCCGGCCTTCAGCTGCGAGGTGAAGGACAGCAGGCGGGGGTGCTTCACACACTGCTCAGCATCCAGGTTCAGCATCACCAACACCTGGGGCCTGTGGTAGGACAGGCAGGGACGGGAGTTACTATGGCTACCCACGACCAGGGCTCCAATGCTCACCAAGTCAGATGGGATAGAGATGGGAAAGGCAAACAGACAGCAGAGGAAGAATAGGTGAGGTGGGAAGGACAGTAAGACAGGATGAGCAAGAGACACAGGTACAGGCCCTGTGTCTGAGGCTTTAGGTGTCCCAGCCAAGGATGCTCTGCTGGGCCTCAGGGCAGAGGAAACTCTTAGAGGAGTATGCTTCCAATCCATACCGCTTGTAGCTTATCAGGTCCCATCTCTGGCTATTCTCCCATTCTTGGGCAGTGATGGCCCACCCCCCTGGCAGATCTCTCCCCAGGGACCAAAAGCAAAAGCTTCTGAGAGACAGCACTAACAAGGTCTTTGCTTGATTCTTCTGTCTTGGGGCTGAGGCTGTAGGATGTACTCACCTCCAGTTCTTGGTATGTGGGGGCCCATGTTCCACACGCAGTAGGGCATAGCGGGCAGCATTCAGTGACAGGCCCCGGATGCCATCACCCCACTCCTTCTCAGCCCTGTGTGGGTACAGAGGGAGACCACCTTGTCCCAGCAGCACTCTAAGAATGTCTGCCTAGCTGAGGCATTCACAGAGTTTCTGTAAACCCAAGACAAGCAAGGGCTACTGGGTAAAATGGAAGGGTACAAGCAGCAGGACTTCCTTTGTGGGACTGACTACCAGGGACAGAGGGAAGAATGAGGTAAGACCACAACTTGGAAGTCCTGAACTCAAGGCCCAGGGTGGGGACAGGACAGTCAGGAAAGGACAAAGGTGACCTTGTGGGTTGAAATATAATATAGCCCCTGAAACATGCCACCCTGGTCCAGAGTGTGTGTGTGTGTGTGTGCATGTTTACAATGGGTATTGCATTCTCAGTGCTTGCTGTTGCTGACAGAGTGCAAAAGTCCTTAAGCAGACTCTAACAGTTACAGCTGCTACACGCAGCCACAGATGTACCCACTGATAATTACAACACATGTGAAATTAAAAACAGAAAACAAAACAAAAAACCTGCCCAGCTATCTGCACAATAGCTCTGGGGCAGGAAATGAGTATATATCTGAGCAAGTCAGCCTGGCTGAGGCTAGGAGATGACACAGTACACCAGATTTCACGGAGTGTCTTCTAACCTCCATGAGACTTCATCTACAGCACCCAGATTCACATCACAGGCCAGGCCCAGGTAAGTAACTGCCTGGTTCTGTGTAAGCATGAGGAGTGTGAAGAAGGCACAGCTGTCTGAGGGTGCTGCCACTCACCCGCGGTATTCGATGTACTTGTAGATGCAGCCAGCGATGAGCATAGCGAAGAGGGCGTAGTACCAGGAGCAGATGAACATCAGGGCAAGGCAGAGACTCATCCCAAGGAAGGAGAGGGTCCTAGTGGACATGGAAGCTCAGACCCCAACCAGCACCCGAAAGACTGCCTCACCAGACAGCACTTTCCCCATCATGAAAATCTTCCTTTAACAGCTTATCAGGCCCTGACCCCTTGGCTATCAGGCTTGTCACTCAGTCACCCCTGAAATATGCCTTCCAGGGACCCTGCTGTGGCACTGCAAAGTGGCAACTTGCAGACAGCAGGTGCCTATTTACCTCCTGAGATGCACAAGGCACCCCAATCAATGCAGAACACAGAAATGGGCTCCACCCCGCCCCCCAGTACTGTGCTGGAAAGGGACCTTAAGAAGACCGGCAACCCTAGGATCTTTACACATTTCCGACTTGACAAGGGATTGACACAAGAATCACATATGTACTCAGGAGTGATGGGGAATGTACTTCTTTGTATGTTTATCTTATTGATTGTTAAAATACTGTTTGCCCAATGAGACAGCAAGTAGACGGGACTAGGAGTCAAAGAGGATTCTGGGAAATGTAGTAGAGAAGTGCTGATCCAGGCAGGAAGTGACATAGCAAGGAAACTCATATTTAAGCGAAGGAGAAACAGGAAGGGCCCTCTTTTCCCCTCCGCTCCTGCTCCAGCAGCATGATGTGATCCACAGCAAGGAGGGTCGCCAATAAGGCGTCCAATAAGATAAGTCTTATAACATATATAGATTTATGATAATTAAGACTGAGCTAGCAGATGAGAATCCTAGTCATTGGCCAAGCAACATTGTATCTAATACAAGTTTCTGTGTATTCATTTGGGCCCTAACTCAGGCAGGCAGCTGGGGTAGTAAAGCTCACACACAGAGGTGGGGCTCAGGCAGCTTTTGGCAGAAAGATTTATGGTAATACAGGAGGGCAAGTGTAAGTCAGACCTTCCTTAAAGCTCAGCAGCCAGGACAGGACCGTGACCCTCATGGAATTCACTGGGGTTCCTTACGCAGTAAGTTTTAAGCCCAGCAACAGGGAGAACCACCAGAACAGATTGCACATGCTCAGCTTGTGGGTCCCGCAGGGCATTCACATAGAAGGCCTTACCAGTGGTAGAACTTGAAACGTGGGCGCCAGTTGGGTGTGCGCAGCAGGGTCTGTACCGCACAGGCCAGATTCACGAACATGTAGCACATGAGGAAGAACCTGGAACAGAAGGTCCAGTGAGGCTGCCGTCCGCCCAGAGTAGTGCTGCAGTGTCCCACTGCCGCCCTACCATACGCCACTCACCACCTTCCAGGGAGACCCTCCCTGTTCACACAGTGGCGGCTCCTCTAATGGACCTCCACGCCACAGCTGAGGTCAAGTCACATCCCTGCTGTCCCTGGCCATATACCATGAAAGCAGCTGTTGCCCCTACCACAGCAGCTACCAGTAAAAGCACACTGGCCTCAGCAAGCACAACAGCTCTGTGCCCACCGCACAACTACCTGGCCTTCTGTGCCTGCCCTGTATGTTTATTCCTTACCCTGTGTCCAAACAGGAAGGAACAGTAGCCAAGTCCTCACACCCTCCACCCTGTTGTCCTTGAAGGTTACTCACATGGACAGGATGGGGGCCACGCTGTCCAGGGAGGCAATGAGGATACCCGTCTCACAGATGAGGGCTGTGAGCAGCAAGGCCCATGTGGGCTCCCCGTTGGCCTTTCCATGACCAAACACCTGCAGTATGGAGAGAGAGTTAAGTGGCCCGGGGCAAGAAAACACCTAACCATGGGTGAGTGGAACATCTACAAGGCATGTCATCTGAAGTCTTCAGGACTTACAAGAAAAACCTAGCTTCAGTCGCATGTCACCGTGCTATACGAAGCCAGGCCCAAAAGAAAAACAAATAGCCACACAGATAGGCTCAGGGGACAGCTCTACCACACCTGAACTTCACTTTAGTCACAGGTCACCGTGCTATACGAAGCCAGGCCCCAAAGAAAACCAAATAGCCACACAGATAGGCTCAGGGGACAGCTCTACCACACCTGAAC